TACGGAAAAGTTGCATATAGAGGAGAGTGAACTAAAATAGCAGATGGCGAACATCCGCCCGTGGTTTAGAGGAGAAAGTAGGCAATCGAATCAGCTGAGTTTCATGGTCATAGCAGATGCAGCCTTTGGTACCATTAACCCCTGAGACAGGCTCACACTCCTCACGTGTTCTCCCCGTCTTTCTCTCCTTCCTGACGCCATCCAGACTAGCGCTGACCTGCACAATGACTGCACGGAGACGCACACAGGCACCTCGGCCTCCGCACCTCTGGCTGCTGGCATCTTCGCTCTGGCCCTGGAAGCAAAGTAAGGCCCAGAAAGCTTCTAGTCACCTTTACAAAGCCTGATTCTCCTTTTTAATAACATTTTTTTTTTCTGAATACACAGTTACAGAAGAAATTTTGGAATACTGCAAAAAAAGTGCTTTCCTGCCACTTTGAGGTCACTAACCATAGCTGACATCTCAGTGTAGATTTAACACACACACATCTTACAAAATTGGGATCCTAATATAGACATTATTTTGTATTCTGTTTTTAAAATCCATTCTACACTATATTAAATGTACTTTCTCCTAAGTCAATATTCTTTGACCTTTAAAACTCATGCCATCCCTCAAATCTTCTTCCCACTCAGCTACAATGCCTTTTGTTTATTTCCATCCAGGAGGATTTTGTTTCAATAGCTTCCAGTGGGCAGTATTAGGAACAGGCTTTAAAAAACTCCTTTCTTTGAATATATAAGCCTAGTCCTGGAGCTGACACAACCACATCAGGGGACATGAGATTTAAAGACAGAATCTTTATCTTTTCATAGTGTTCCATTGTATAAATGCACATTTTGGTAAACTCATCTAATCATGATTAAAAACCATTGTTGGTAAATATTAGTTGTCATCTCTGATAATTTCCTCAGGATAAATTAATTATCATCTCTGATAAATTCCTCAGAATTGGAATTTCTGGGTCAAAAGGCAAATATGTTTTAATGATTTTGATACACATTGACAAGATGCTGCCTTGAATGACTATCCCACTTTGTTCCCCTCAGGAGTATGTGTGTGAAACTGCCAGTTTCCAAAATCTTGCCAAAACTACTTTTATCATCTTTTAAGATCTTTGCTATTTTGATAGGTGAAAACAGTATCTCTTCTGGTGTTTAATTATTAATGAAGCTCAATATTTCATACCCTTCAGCTCTTTGTCTTCTGTAATTGCTTCTTTATGGCCTTAGTTTTGTCTTATGGCCTCAGTTCACAAAAGCTAGATGTTTTATAAGTTTGACATTTACCTTTTAATTTGTTTCTATGTCATTTTTAATGAAATGAAGTTAATATGTCTGTAGTTATGTTTGTCAGTCTGCTTCTTTAAGGCTTCTTCTTTTGCTTTTATGCTCAGAAAAATCTTCACAACCCCAAATTAGATAAACCTTTATTTATATGTCTTTTATTATGGTTTCTTTACCATGTTTAAATTCTAAATCCCTCTGGAATTTATTTTCATGCATAATGTTAAAAAAAGATTTAACATTTTTTTTCTCGTAATTACCCAATAGTCCAATACTTAACACAGAGGAAAAAATGGAACTGTCTCACACTGCACATCACAGCTTTTTATGTGCCCTCATTCCTGCTTTCTGATATGTGGTGACAGCGAATCTTGAAATGTCAAGTCAGGTGCTATGGTTGCATATTAGAGGAAGTGATTAAACTTGTAAGTTACTATTATCCTTCCTAATAAGGAGATTATCCTAGAAGAAATTACTTATTCTCCAGAGAGAACAAAGCAGTGTCCTCCTGTCACGTTCAGTAGACTCGGTTCATAATAACAGAAGGGAAGAATATTTTGGCCTTTTGCCATAACTGGAAAAGCCCTGAGGTTGCTGAGCCTTTGTCCAGGAGAGTCCCGTTTATCTCTAGGATCCCTGGGGCTTCCTATGGAGATGGGGTATACTCCTGGGTATCTTGATTACGAGATGGCCACCGTGGCTAAGCAAGACAGGTCTAGCAAGGCTTTTACCGAGAGTCCATCTACTTGGAGGGTCTGGAGATGTTGGTAAGGGAAGAAACAAATCCAGTTGCTCAATTAGATACAGACATTGGGCCCTCCAGGAAAGCTATGTTCAGAATCTGAGTTCACGTACAATAGGAAGTAGATGGACAAAAGACAAAAATCTATGAACACAAGCTGAGACTGGCATCAGCAGATGCAAATAAACTTCAAGAAAAATTGTCCAAGCAGTGAAAATTGCAAGGAATACCTGGCTTCAAGTTCTAGCTCTATCACAATCTATGTGGCCTTAGGCAAGTTAATTTTCATGTGGGGCTCAGTCTTTTCATCTATAAAATAAAGGGGTCAAACCAGAGCTTTTTTTCAAACTTCTTCCCTTCCTAAGATTCTCAGAGTTGAGATTGAAAATGTCAGCATATATATAGATAATCCAATGTGAATTGTTGGTTTCAATGATGAAGGGTCTCAACTGGAAGAAAATAAGGTCCTATGCATTATAGGATCCTGTGCAACAGATTTATGATATTTAAGATTTCAAAATACAGACTACTACCTCAGGGAGCTGCTAAAAGAAAGGCATCTTAAAATTTTATGTCTAGAACATTTCTTCTCTATCCAACACCTGTCAGATGCATGTAAACAGAACTGGCCATGCCTAGCCCATCCTTGTATAGTGACCAATATAGTATAAATATCCATCTGCTGAACAGATATAATGTCACTTTTGTGTAAGAACTGAAATTGTAAAAGTGCAACCCTTGGTTTCTAAAACCTCAAGCCTTCTTTTTCTGTATAGTAGAAAATGATCCTATAAAGAAAACAATCCTTCCCTTTCCTTTTTCTTTTGGAGACAGAGTCTCACTCTATCACCCAGGCTGGAGTGCAGTGGCGTGATCTTGGCTCACTGCAACCTTCACCTCCCAGGTTCAAGCAATTCTCATGCCTCCGCTTCCCGAGTAGCTGGGATTACAGGCATGTGCCACCACGACTGGCTAATTTTATCCTTCCTTTTTCTGTATAGGAGAAAATGATATAGGAATGATCTAGCCTCATTCATCTCAGTCTCCGATGGACCGTCTTTAAAGTAGAGGTTTCATTTCTATGAAACACTCAAATAGGTTTCAACGGGTCCATGAATCTCTGCAACTAAATTCAGAATTGCTTATAAGTGTGTGTATTGCATATTTCTGGGGAATGGCTTATAGGTTTCACCAGATTCTCAATGTTCATGATTTAAGAGATATTAAGAGTCTGTGATCTCCCAGGTGCATATCATAAGAACTTCATTCCCCTCATTTTGATTCAATTCATCAGAAAGATAGATATGACTGATCTATCTTAACATTTATATCCTTACTGCCAAGATGCATGGAGATTATTAAGATGTCTATTCTCAATTGGACATTATTCTGGACTCTATTCACTTGTCTATACCAAAGCTGAATGCCAGAATTTCTAGAAATGTGACGAAGCTTCATCCCAAGGCACTCAAGAATGAGAAAATCATTTAATCATGTGCCGTCCCACAGGAACAACTATGGAGACTGAAGAACCCTCGCCTAAACTTATCAAGAATAATGACATCCAATATTGATTAGGTTCTTACTATAGACCAGACACAGCTGACCTCTTTATATACAATATTAATTATAATCGTTACATTTTTATGACATAGAAATTATTCATTTCACTTATAAATTGAAAAAATTAAGGTTTAGAGAGGTTGAGATATGTAACCAAGATCCCACAAAGAGATTCAAACTCAAGTCTGTCTGAATGCAAAGCCTGTGTTATCAGCAACCACACCTTGCAGCCTCCCCCAGCCCTGTGAGGGAGAGGCAGTGTTGAATGGCAGCCTATCATCCCCTCAAATAAAGGAGGGTTAAGAAGATTGAGGCTGATAAATGAACATGCATTTATGAGTTTCTATTAAGTTTTCTGTCACAAGCAGACTACTCAATATGCTGTGTTAAATGTTATATAGCCAGAGTGTTGGGGAATGGGAGGAGAAAAGGGAAGGAGAAGGAATGGTTTCTGGTTGAAGTATGTGCAGATAAATACTTTCTTATACTAAAGCAATGTTTCTCAAGCACCAGCATACATAATCATCACCTGGGGAGTTTATTTAATATGCAGGTTCCCAGGTCCTTTTGCCAGCAACTAATTCAGACTTTGCACCTGCCTAGAAGTTTCTGATGTGCAGTCTAGGAATTCCTTTTTTTAACAAATCTCCCAGGCACTTTTTAATGCTAGTAATACCTTAACCAAGTTTTGAGAAGCAAATGCTACAAAGAGTAACTGTTACCACTGTGTTTTCCTATGACCTCATCGACTGTGTTTGTGTGGAAACCCATTAGAATAGTTAGTAGGTACATCTTGGAAATAAATGTAAGAGAGAAAGGAATTCCTTGCATAAATGTCTGTGGCACTATTATTATATTATGTAGTGAATATACCTAAGAAATCTGGTAGAAAATAGCCTCAGCCTTCTGAGGAGAGATCAAAAGAATCAGAATACTTTTTAATAGGTGAGGAAAATACTGAAGTGAACCATTGAATCCTTTCACACCAGAAATATTAAACAAACAGATGAGCCAAACTTCTGGTTTTGCTAAAGCCTGGAGAAAGAGAAATGGACTTTCAGGGCTGCCTGAAACCTTTGGAAAAAATCACAACAAAAAAATTCTTGACTTCGTGAGTTGTGAAACGTTAGAAAGTCCAAGTTAGAAAATCTTTCAGATCTGGGCTAATTTAGGTATGATTAGAGGCTGAACCAGATAGTTCTGAAGACTTTTGACGCTGGAATTTTGTCTCCAAATTATATTACCTACATCTCTTCTAATTAGAAGCAGTGCTTAATTCAGTGTTTAATTGCATACCCTTATTTTCTGTAAACATATCTTTGATTAGCAACCCAATGCAGTTTTTTAAAAATTTAATTACTGTGGATGTTGTCGAGCACAAATTAAACAAAGGAAGGCTGTCAGGAATGAGTTGCACTGTTGTCAGCAGCTCCTTTTTATTTATAAAACACAAGCACACAAATGAAGAACAGCTCTGTTAGAAAAATAGGCTTTTCTAATTGCATGACAATGAAGCTCCTTGAATATTTTGCAAAGACTAGATAAAGGAAACTTTTAAAACAATAAAACCTGCAAACATATAAAATAACGGCTCTACTGCAGCAATATAGGACATGTGTGCTATATGTGAAAATCATGATTATCAGTATCTTGCCTTAAGCCTCCTCAGTACGCTTCCTCCTTCCTGCCTCCATACACGCACCTGCACACTGATGATCCAAATGGAAAACTGGTGTGTTGCCCATTGACTGCCTTGATATGAGGCTTTTACCTAAAACTCCTTTGAAAAGACTGGAAGGAAGCAAGCACTTCAATAAAATGCTCTATTCTATTTACACCTGTACCAGGCGATTATAAGGCAAGCATTCTGGGACTCAGTGAGGATTCCTAAACTGGTGACCTTCCAAGGCCTCTGTCAATCCCTCTCCAGGGTGAAGTGGTATGTTTGTCATGAGCTCAGCTCAGGTGAGCTGAGCTGTCATGTGTGGAGTAACCCATTAATGCAACAAGCCAAAAATGAAAGCACTGAACGTTTAATCACTTACTGCTGTGATATAAGCAAGAGTCTGAACCGGAGAAAACACTGACTCGCCCGGCTCCTTTTCCCCATGGCTTGGCACACTGGTTGAGTGGCTCAGCACAGACATGAGGGTCATCGCACTGTTGAGGGAGATCCGAACAAAAGGCTTCGGCAATTTTATGGACTCTCGGGTATGAGGCAGAGAGAAACCAAGAGAGTGCAGGAGTGGAGAAGCATCAGGCAGAGTCTGAATGAGGAAAGTGCCTGGATGTTTCCCCTCCTGTCTCCACCAGGAGGCCTAGGCAGAGGCGCCTGACGAGGGACCTAGAAAGGAAAGCTCTCACCAGCTAGGAATGTCAATATGGATCGAACATGACGGGGCCGGGGCCTGCGGCTTTCATGGGAACTTCTCTCAGAGGCTGCGAGGCACCAGCTGTGCACTGTGTCTGCGTGGGAAGGCAGCTTCCCCGTGTGGTGTGCCGGGTACAACCTTTCAAGTAGCCTATGGTCAGGCCCGAAAAAATCACACACCATTTTTAACCGGGAGCTGAACTCTTCAATGTTTAGGAGTGTCCACGGCCTTTCTTGTCACCAGGGGATTTCTGAACCAGTACATGATGGGCTCTGGGGAGAAGGCAGCAAAGTGAGCCAGACTTGTCTGATGATTGTTCTCCAACCGAGTGCTGAGACGGGAACTTTGAAGAGTAAAAACTGGGGCATCTACTTATTACATAATGCTTGATTGGCTTCAGAGAACAATACAGGTCTCAAAGTCAAGGAGAAGTTTGAGAATCTGACTGATGACTAGGAGCAATATGTTTTAAAGTTCTATTTGGGGCTAGTTAGCACTTAGGCATGTTCAGTCTCGGAACCAACCATATCTGCTGAGCTTACACTCTGTGCTCAGCATTCTTCTGGGTGCTACACATCAGAGAACAAGTTAGATAAAGATGTCACCACCTCTCACAGTTAAATTAGAACCAGAGAGACAGACATTAATAATACATAATGAAAATGAGTGTTCCAGCATGTTAGAAGCCTGTATGTGTTATGGAAGGAGAACATGCACATATAGCAGAATAAGAGAGCTCGGGATGATGTGGGGGAGTGGAAATTTTAAATAGGTTGATTGAGGAAGGCCTCATCATATTATAATAGATCCAACAATCCCTTATATCTCTGATTTATCTTTATAGTGTTGCTAAATTAATCTTACTGAGACTTATGATTTTACTATTTACTTGCTCAAAAATCCTCAGATTTCCACTGCCTAAAGAATAATGTATAAGCTCCCTTTCTGGCACACAAGGTTCTCATCGCTCTAGCTCGGTACTCCTCACTGGCTCTCCCTGCTCCAGCAAACCAGGCTGTCACCTGGGCCACATCTGCACTGTCCCACCTTGGTGCTTTTGCTCCAGTGGCCTCATGCCTTCTTCTCTATCTCCACTTCTTAATATTCTACCCCCTGTCAAAGTCCAGCTCCAATATTTCTCCCCCACAAAGCTTTCCGAGATCTTTCTATTCCATGGAAATTCTTTCTCCTCTGAACTTCCACAATGCATTAAACTATGAATATAGCATTCAGCAGATAGAATTATGAAAAGCCTTAATTCTTTTTACTGGATTGTAAACTTCTTGAAGACAAGAACCACATCCTTGAATATCCTCACAGTATTAGTATAGTGCCTTGCAACGGTGAGCTCAAACAGCTAAGAGTTTCTTGACACTTCTGATAGATAAAGAAAAAGGCAATACATGTTTACAGTAGGTAACCAGTCTGTGTCTTTAACATCTCACTCTTCCTAAGAAGGAATTCAGGGCCTCTTCTGTGGGTTCATAATGCTGAAAGTGCTGAGGCTTTTGATGGACACCATGAGACTAGAGGGCATAAAGAAAGTGTTACCATTTAAAATGTTTGCTCAGTTAAATGTAAGTAATTAGAAATTAAGCACAAAGTATTATACTTCTATAATGCTGAGGACTGAATTTTACTCATAGTAAAAGCTTATTTACCATGGGGTGAAGTCATAACTTACATGTTACAGGGAGAAGTTTTCAGCACTGTATTCTGAATTCCAAATGAAGGATATATGAACAGTAATAGACACTAGAATAATATAAGTAGAATAGCAAAAGGCACTTCATAATCCCTGAATGGAGATGCTTATTGTTAGCACTCGCTTTTGCAAGAAGACTTCATTTTTCCTCTGAAAGACACTTTGGGTCACTTCCCCTCCAGCCCAAATCTCACCTGGCGAGATATGCAGCACTTGGTTGTCTGGACCTCTGAGTACGACCCACTGGCCAATAACCCTGGATGGAAAAAGAATGGAGCAGGCTTGATGGTGAACAGTCGATTTGGATTCGGCTTGCTAAATGCCAAAGCTTTAGTGGATTTAGCTGATCCCAGGACCTGGAGGAGTGTGCCTGAGAAGAAAGAGTGTGTTGTAAAGGACAATGACTTTCAGCCTAGGTAAGTATCTCCTGGAATTTTAAACACATGTGTGCCCATGACGCAATTTTATTACTGTGTTTGCCACTCTGCCTGATTTTTTTTGCACCTACCCTTCTGAAGTAGATGGAGGTGGAGTTTTCCAGTGTTCTCTGTGGGTCTCCATGGCAATTCACTGAGTGATCAGAGTTCTAGAAATCATGTTAACACATTTGCATGTTCCTCTTGTAGTCCACCTACCACACAGCACCCAGTCCAAGGGGCACCATTGTTTTATTGTCAGTTAAACTGTGATCAACCAATCATCAGTTTTAAGATTCATTCCAAATTCAGTGTTTAACTATTTTATAAAATCCATCTTAGGGTTGATGAAATGCAGTACTTGAAAACCACTTTTACTCAAAATCTACTTCCAAAATAGCCTTGCTTCATGTCACAGTGCTGTGTGATTCATGGCTTTTCTTCCATGAAGGATTCTTTATCATACACTTTTACACAGACTCTCTCTGGCAAATCACATCTTGCCACAGAAGCAATTTCTGCTATGAGAGTTTTGTAATTTCTAGCAAGGCAACCAAAATAATACTGAAGACGCACTCACACAAAATATCCGAGGAAGAGAAGCTTGAGGCATGCCTTCAGAAGGCCTTCTAGATAAAATCATTTTTTTCTTAAGAGGGTCTTTTTGTTGGGTCCACAATAAATCTACCTGAATTTGACTCCACAGCAAATAGCATTGTGTTTAAGTATTAGTGCCCCTTACCATCTTCTTATGCATTAAAATTTATGTATACCTAATCCTGAAATCTACACATCACAAGGAGTGACAAAAAGCTTAGTTGAGTATCTAGTCAAGACTGATGTGTACAGATGCACATAAAATGCAAGGAAGCTGGGATATACTTTATTCAATGCTGATTCTTTAATGTATTTAGAGCTCTGAAAGCTAATGGAGAAGTTATCATTGAAATTCCAACACGAGCTTGTGACGGACAAGAAAATGCTATCAATTCCCTGGAGCATGTGCAATTTGAAGCAACAATTGAATATTCCCGAAGAGGAGACCTTCATGTCACACTGACTTCTGCTGCTGGTAAATTAAAAACAAAATCTTCCAAACCATTTAAATTTTTAAGTGTAAGTTGAGTTACTCAAATAACTGATTGCTTTTGTTTATTCATAGAACAAAATCTCCTAGTAGATGTTTTTATGTCTTTGAAAAACATGTTTATTTTTCCTTTTTCTTGATGTTAGAGCTCCCTCTGCCCTGCCCATTCCTACTGATCCTTTGATAAGCAGAGAATGAGGCCCATTGAAATAATGCCAATTAATACACTTTTCTGGGGCCAGGCGCGGTGGCTCACGCTTATAATCCCAGCACTTTGGGAGGCCGAGGCGGGTGGATCACGAGGTCAAGAGATCGAGACCATCCTGGTCAACATGGTGAAACCCCGTCTCTACTAAAAATACAAAAAAATTAGCTGGGCACGGTGGCGCGTGTCTGTAATCCCAGCTACTCAGGAGGCTGAGGCAGGAGAATTGCCTGAACCCCAAGAGGCGGAGGTTGTGGTGAGCCGAGATCCCGCTATTGCACTCCAGCCTGGGTAACAAGAGTGAAACTCTGTCTCAAAAAAAAAAAAAAAAAAAAAAATACACTTTTCTGAAGTCATGCATTTTCATACTGTGTTTACTTGTCCAGTTTACTGATATCACTTTTCTCTTAGATAACAAATTAGTGAAAGTTACCCTGATAACCAAACTCACAGATATAACTGAAACATACAAGGAGTGCACAGATCCATTAGAGAAGATTGAGAAGATTAACAAATTTACCATAACAATAAGGCCATTTTATATGATATATAAACATTTGCCTTTTCCTGAAAGGCGCTAATTCGGATAAGATAGTGGATGGGAGAGGGCTCGTGAACCAGAAGCCGTAATCCAACCAGGAGGAGCAGTCCCAATACTCCTTTATGTCTTAGTAGGACTCAACTGACTAAATTCGGTTTCTGTGGGTGATACGTGCGGAAGATGAGCTATTTCTATGATCTTTCTCCTGAATATTAATTCCTAGAGGTTTGGAAAAGGCTGTTAATTTTGAAGTTATGCTTTCTAGATGTATTGGAATTAACCTGAAATATTGGTGGCATGCTTTCTTAATTGATAGACCTACAATTATTTAACCCTTCCACATAGAACTATTATTCATTAAATAAATTTTTAAAATATATTATATATAAAAAAAGAACTATTATTCATTGATCTAGAGAGGGCTTGGAGTCGAAAATTTAGTGGTAATCTTGTTTTTTAATATAAGAGATTGTTAAATTAACATATCTTTAAGAAATTAATGCATTAAATAATTATGATTATTAATGATTATATAATAAACTAATTAAATGATAATTTTTATCTCTAAATCATTATGGAGTCAGGCACCTACTAAACTTTTAAGATTTCCTCTTACACTTCAGAAATGATAGTTTCATTCAAATACATTTTAGATTTTTGACTCTCTTCTTTAATTCAATTTGTAAATGTAGTTCTCTGAGTTCTCTTTATTTGAATAAACCTTAGTCAACATATTCATTCATTCATTCATTCATTCATTCATTATTTTTTCCATAATATTTATTGAAACAAATAATATTCATTGTTATGCCAGGCAATGCGCTAAGTACTATAGATAAAACTAAAAACTAAGTACTATAGATCATAGTTTCCTTGTGAATGTCTCTATCCTTATACTGAAAGAGAATTAGGAGACCTCATCTTTTTCAGCTTTTATTTTCAGTTATCATATGCTAGAGTGTTATATTCCTATCAGAGTTCTTAGGACATTCATTAACTTGTATTTGTTGCATAGGAACTAGCACTGTGCTGTTGGCTGAAAGAGAACGAGATACATCTCCTAATGGCTTTAAGAACTGGGACTTCATGTCTGTTCACACATGGGGAGAGAACCCCATAGGTACTTGGACTTTGCGAATTACAGACATGGTAAGTATGAATGAAAGGATGAAAGAACAGAAGTTTACTTTTAAATACTTTGAAGCACTTTTAAGTTGATTTCTTCATTAATTAGGGTCCTCAAGAATTGTACCCCTTCTTAGTAAACGTAAGAGAAAAGTCTAGTGTTTCAAGCCCCGACTGCTTGGTTATGTAGATCATATTCAAAAAGTAAGACTAGGCACCAGCCATACTATAAGGGGGAAAAAGTACTTGTATAAACAATGTGACAGACCGTAGGGCAAAGTCAAGTGTTCCCATGTCTACATGCAGCCAGCCATCTGACCTATTCAGCCACCAAAATCAACCATATTCACAAAGATATTTAAATGCTCAGACCAACTTTGGTATGACATTCTGCCAGAGTCACATCTTAAAGGCATGCTTACAATTATTCTGCAGTGGCTATTTAGAAGTAGCTTAATGTTTGTCAATATATCTTATTTAATATGACTTTTTAAAACAATTTTAGAAATGAAACAAACCAAAAAGCATTTCTCATTTCTTTTTCATTCTGTTGACCAACATTCTCTGACGCCCTTCTGTAATTTTAACACAGAGTCACAAAAATGAAAGGACAGAGTAAAAGTTAGAAAAAGCCAAATATAGCTGAATTATTTATTTTTGCATCATTTCTCCAACATTCTCTGTAGGTGAGAATATAAATGAATGATGTTTTGGTTCTGTGTTCTTCTGAGATACAAGTGTAGTAAATACAAGCAGTGTAGAATTACATGCCTATTACATGCCTAGATAACTTTTTTTTAGACAAAGTTTTGCTCTTGTTACCAAGGCTGGAGTGCAGTGGCACAATCTTGGCTCACTCTAACCTCTGCCTCCTGGGTTCAAGCGATTCTCCTGCCTCAGCCTCCTGAGCAGCTGGGGTTACAGGCACCCACCACCATGCCTGGCTAATTTTTGTATTTTTAGTAGAGATGGGTTTTCACCATGTTGGCCAGACTGGTCTCGAGCTCCTGACCTCAGGTGATCTGCCTGCCTCCACCTCCCAAAGTTCTGGGATTACAGGTGTGAGCCACCCCATCTGGCCTAGATAACTTTTTGGAAAGAGATTATTTAAAGTTCCTGGAATATAAATTAAATTAATCCAAATTTTATAGTCATTTGTCATGTTTTCTTCTTGGAGGATAGATTTCTCCTAAAAACTGCTAAAATTGTGATTTAGAAATGGAAGTTGTAAAATGTCCTGCTCTCATAGAGCAAAAAAAAATTCTTGATATATGGGCCTGTTCTTGAACTTGGCCTCTATTCTCTAACTCAATTTCACCATCAGGAAACTAAGAAAATCTATATACCAAGATGGGATAATTTCATGTCAAGTCTGGAAAATCTGATCTTACACCTCTAGATTTTTAGTCTGGAAAATCTGATCTTACACTTCTAGATTTTTAAAGATATTTTAGATTTTAACATATTTATAATTGTTGAACCTCTGAAAATTATCACAATTCCCATAAATATACAATGTTTTTGTAATTGAACTTTATAGACCTTATTTATTTATTTATTATAATTGAACTTTATAGACCTATTTATTTATTTATTTATTTATTTATTATTATACTTTAAGTTCTGGGATTCATGTGCAGAACGTGCAGGCTTGTTACATAACATGTGCCATGGTGGTTTGCTGCACCCATCAACCCTCATCTACATTAGATATTTCTCCTAATGCTATCCCTCCTCTTGTTCCCCACTCTCCAACAGGCCCCAATATGTGATATTCCCTCCCTGTGTCCATGTGTTCTCATTGTTCAACTCCTGCCTATGAGTAAACATGTGCGGTGTTTGGTTTTCTGCTCCCATGTTAGTTTGCTGAGAATGATGGTTTTCAGCTTCATCCATGTCCCTGCAAAGAACACAAACTCGTTTTTTATGGCTGCATAGTATTCCATGGTGTATATATGTGACATAATTTTTAAGGGCTTATTAATGCTAGAGGCTA